TTTTCCAATGTTTTTTCTTTTAAATAAATGCTCATAAATTTTACTGGTGAAAAGGATGAAAAAACACACCTAAAAAGAGCAGTTTGTTGGAAAAAGAAGGAGAAAAAAAAAGGAAAAAAAACCCCACCAAGCAGAATGTAGAAAAGCTGAGTTCCTTTTTAGTACTGAGTACCTAAGAAAATGGGGTGTGGAACCAGCAGTTAGCATAATGGTGATGTCGCTGGGCTCCCACGTAGTCGGCTGTAGTTCGAGTCCCGGACCCAGTGGCTTAAACTCACGCTGGGCACGTGTGCGTGTGTGCCCAAGACCCCGAGAGGAGAATGGAGGAGAAAGGATTGTGGCATGGCCATCCCCCCCTGGGGGTGAGTTCTCGCTTTCTTTCTCTCTGTCTCTCTCTATCTTTCTGGCGAGTGCAAGCACCCTATAGCAAAAACCTCTCCAAAAAAAAAAAAAAAAAGAAAAGAAAAAGAAAATGGGGTGAAGGAATGTTCAGATTTTACGAAAAAGAAGATTCTTGTGTAATATCCATAAAGCTTCTGTGTCTGAGTATGGAGTAAATGCCCAGTCCCCTTCTTCTTAGATTTACTGAGGAACCCCAGCAAGGTAGGGCCTCAGTCCCAGGGGAACCCCTGATTTTCATCTCTCTTATCCCTTAGGCTCATTGGGAGCCTTGCGCTGGTCTCGGCATCCAGAGACCTCTGTCTTTATAACTTGAAAATGAGGGGGTTGAACTAGACCATCTGGAAAGTTCTATGGCTTTATGACTAAGTCAGCCACTTGATGAACCAAAGCAAGAAACAGCCTCTGACCCCTTCTAATCCTCTTTCCTCTCAGAGAAACTGCCACCTTGGCAATATCCATTGTCCCCTTCTTCCTTTCATCCCAGCTCCAGTTTCATTCAGGGCAGCCATGTACCTGGCTAAGCCTCCCTAGCAGCTGAGTACGGCCAGTTGGTTCCAACCAGTAAGATGTACGTTTCAGTTCCTTGACCAGCCAACTCAGCTGGTTCACATTTTTTGCCCTTTCTCTTCTGCCTAGAATTCAGACACATGGGAGAGGTAAAGCAGCCATCTTGCAACTAGAGGTCCAAATACAGAGAATGGCAAAAAAGAACAGGTCAGAAGAGTCTGGGTCCCCAAAGCGCCCAAGAGTCATTGAACCTGCCCAGCCTCAGATGACTTCTTATGACATGACAAAACAGAAACCCCTATCGGGTTAAGCCACAGTAAGGAGAATTTCTGTCACATACATCAAAACCTAATTTGTAGTAGGTTAAAGAGGAGAAACGGTCCTTCAATAGTTATCAAGTATCTCCTGTGTGCCTGGCACTGCCAGGAGCAGAGTAAGAGAGCAGCCCAGACACTGCCTCTGCCCTTGTAGGGCTTCCGAACCAGTGGGGAACACAAACGGCAAGTTAGCAAAGTCCATTCATGACAAATCAGCATCGCTCTGACAGAAATAAATGAGGCCCTCAAAAAGAGGTTAATAGGACATCTACTTCCAGCGGGCAGTCCTAGGACTAGTGAGGAAACAATGTTGAAGGGGAAAAGTGGAGGAGAGAATGCACCAGACCAAACGGAGCTGCACACGCAGTGGCCTCTAGCTGAGAAGAAGGTGGGCACTGGTGAGTGGGGTGGGGGGGTAGGAGCGTGAGAGGAATTGAAACAAGGAGGAAGAGAAAGACAGGGCCAGTCATGCAGTGCCATGAGCCGGGTTTTATTTAAAGTCCCTGAAGGATTTGAAAAAGAATATTGGGCCAGCCTTGTACCACAGTGGTTGGTTGCTGTGCTGAGGGAGCTAGATCCCACATGGTCAGCCACAGTTCAAATCCTGGCTCTGGTGGCTTGAAAAACGCCAGGTGCATGTACGTGTGTGCCCCAAATCGCAGAATGATGGAGAAATGGAGAAAGGATTGCATACTCCATGAGGGTTCTCTCTCTTTCTCTCTCTCTCTCTTTCTCTCTCTCTCTCTCTCAAGTGCACATGGCCTCTGGCAAGGAGGAGGAAAGAGAGGGGGACGGGGGAACAAGAGGAGAAGGAGAAAATGAAGACTGCCTTGTAAGAAGCCCTCCATCTAGAAAGCAGTGTCAGCCCAACTTCTGAGGGCTTGTGGCTTCACAGAGATCCTGCCAGCCTGGCTGTGAGCAGCAGCTCCTTCATCATGGCCCTAAGGGCCCTGGGGCATGAATCAGGTTCTGCCGGCAGACAATGAACTGCTGGGCTGAAAGCTAGGCCCAGCCCTGACTCTCAGTAGCTGTGAGCTCTTTCACTGTCATCCTCATCCTCTCTGAACCTGAGCTTCCTAGCTGAAAATAAGGACAGTCACAGTCCTACCTCTCAGAGCTGCCAGGAGGCGACGTGTGGACCCCTGTGATGCACTTGGAACTGTGCCCAGCCCATAAGGAGTGCTAGCAAAGAGTTTATTATTTTTGTTGTTACTGGAAAGCTCATCAGAGTCCAAACTCCTGTCTCTGGGCCAGGCTTCTCCAACTTGGCATTAGAATCACCCCGGTCCTACCATGGAGAGTCTGTCTGCATCTACAGATAGAACTCAAACACTTCGGATCCAACAGGTGGGCCACAGGCCACACCTGGACAAACAGTGACATCGCAGCTTTGGGGTGAGACAAATCCAAGGTCAAATCTGCCTCAACAACTTTCTGTCTGCATGGCCTTGCGTGGCCCCTGAAACCTCTCCAAAAGTTGCTTTCTTTATCTGAAAAATGAGGTTATTAATACCAGTAATACCCTTCCTGTGAGGATGAAATAAAAATATTTATGTAGAGAACATAAAAGTTATAATCCCAGACTCGAGTGTGCAAAGGTATAATGTGCTTTATTCATCTATAGTTTATATTAACTCAGCCCATGACCTCGTATTTCCACTAACAGCAGAAAACTTCAGGTTGGAAATTCTAGCTCACTCAGACAGCTTCCTTAAAAAAGTCCAGTCCTTTTGGGGAAACTTCAACCAGAAATGGATCCTTCTCTGTAGCCGGTTCCTCCTCTGGAGGTGATTCGGCTCCTTCAGGGTTAATTACCCTGACTTGTCAGAGCGTCTACACAACACAACTGGTCCTGGGTATTCACATGCCCAGCCAGTGCCCGTTGTGCCACCATGGCCGCTGGCGGCATGGCCCTGGGCTTGGCCTTCTCACCCCTAGCCTAGGCCTCCTCACCTGCCAGACTTCTTGTTTCTGTGCTCGTCGCTCTGTAGCTGCACTGCTGAGGTGAGTCCAGCCCATGTGGCTGCCTCTGATCACGCTGAATTCCCTTCCTCAGCACTCCGTTTGCTGTTTAGGCCCTGTGGAGAGCACCAGGTTACACAAAATGGATTCTGTGATGACAAGACCAGACTGAGCAGTAAAAAGTGTGACACATACACTCCAGGTCCCTGCTTCACCTGCTGAATTGAAAGGGAATAACAGGGATGCCCAAACCTGACACCTCAAGATATGCTGGGGCACTTAGACAGACTCGCCATGTGCTAACCTTAGACACGGGTGCTAATCTAAGAGACTCTGTTCACCAGAGCCGCGTTGCCATTCCCTCTTGGCACCATGACCAGAGCACACTGTTCTAGCCGCTCCATGAGACACTCGTGGACCTTGGTACTTAAGACAGTCTGAGACTCACTGCCTCCCTCCCAGCATCAGTGTTTGTCCTCAGACCCTTGGGGACCTCCAGGAGTGGGTTGGACAAACTCTTTCCTTCCAAGGTAGATCTTGAAATATCTGGAGACCCACAACTGGCTCTTTGCTTCCATTGGCTGTTCAGGGTGACCAGCTAGCATGAGTTGTTCTCATTCCTTGACCTGACTGCTTTGCCATGCCAAATTTTATGCTGTGACATAAAATTGTGGAAAGTCTGACATTGTGGAAAGGCACAAATATATCTGAGGTCTTATTCATTGCTCATAACAGGCGCCATATTGAATAGGGATCTTACCTGGAGTTTTGTTCATCTCCCATCCCCTTCTCCCACCAGCAGACCACCTCTCTTCTCTCCTTTCACAGGTTGGATGGAATGGTGACCTCTTCTTACTTTACCTCCTTCCCTGTCTCTGTGTCCTCCAGGAGCTGGCTCATGCATTCCCAATCCTTTTCTTAGACACACACACACACAGCCTAGCTCTTGTAAATGAAAGTTTTGCTCAGAAGATTTGAGTTTCTCCTTCAGACAGACACAAACCCATCTGGCTTTTCAATCAATTTCTTGCTTCTAGGGGGTATCTGGCTCCTCAGAGGGCAAATAGGCCTACAATTCAATTTCTGCTCCCCGGTGATGGGGGAGACAAAAGGTACAAAGAAGCCTGGGAGTGGGAGATCTCAAAATATCCCTTTCACTGTTTTAGCTAAAATGCCTACTTAGCATCTGGCCTGTCTGGAGGAACTGCTTCATGAGTGACTAAGTGACAACCATGATGATTGTGGTGACAACAGGAGGAGGAGGGTTTCTCCCCCTGGTTGTATACATGGTCTTTACAGTGCTGGCTCTGACTGGCTGGGACTCTGTGTTTCTAAGACAAATGGAAGGGACCCCAGAGGAGCAGGTCACAAAGCAGTGACTCATTCATGTTCCATTATGGGGTGAGTGGGCTCCTCCAGCTGAGGACTTTCAACTGTGCTCCTGCCCCGCCTGTTGTGGAGAGCAGGCAGAGGAGGAGGCTACTTGTCTGAGTCTCCTTCTTCCTGGAGGAGCCAGAAAGGCCACCGCTAAGATCTTCTCCTTTAGCTCAAGCATCATCCCCTACAGGTTCATCTTAGACTGAAAATAGACTGGGACAATGTGTAGCTCAGCAACGCCTGGGGTGAGTTCTCCACTCTAGGCCCTGGGAGAACTCCAAGAGGAAAAAGGTGTTGCCGGCCAGCCTCTTATCTTCCAGAAAGTAACACGGAGTAAAGAGACTTCCTGAGGCATTTAAGCTGCCCTCTGTTCCCTTCTCAACGCTGAGTGAGCCCGAAGGCATGGGAGCTAACACCAGAGGCAGCAAACCTGTTGGAACATGTATATTTTCCAAGGTTTCCGGCAAGGGTAGAGGTCCAGGATATATAACTTGAGTTTCTGGAGAAGCCCCAGGCCCTTGAGGAGGGACCGCCCTCCCCCTCTGTGTTGCTAGTAGGGGTGATTCAGGGTGTGCTTCATGATGGTCCGAATCGCCATCCATGTCTCTTGGGCTGTGGGGACGATCTGACTGGCCGGCAGCAGGAAGCCATAGCGCCCGGTGTCCCGGAGCTCAAAGCTGAAGGCGTACTTGATGCCCATGTCATAGGCCCAGTCCACTGTGATCCCACTGGCCACATCTAGATACAAAGGAAGAAGGGTGACCACAGGTACAGAGGCATCCTGACTGGAAAGTAGGCCCTGGGGCCAAACCCCATCCACCCTAGACCATATCAATCTTCCTGGTCTGGGTTTCCACCTGGGCCCCATCCCTCCTACCCAGCCTATTCTCTACCCTTGCAAAGAGGAGGCTCCTGTAGGCCCCAGATGGAGGGGCTTCCCCTCCAGGAAACATGTAGTAAGTCAGGCATGGAAGCTGTGCATTAACATTGTAAAGAACCAGCTGCCTGGATACCTCCATTCGCCTCATCTATTCAGATATTGGCCCAGCCCAACCACATGTGGTACTGCCCAACCCCAGGTGGATGTGGAGTCTGCAACAGCAGCCAGGGAAGGCTCACTCACAGAGGGTGGTGCTGATGCTGCCAAAAATGTATTCGATCCCATTGACTTTACGCAGGGCCTTCACTGCCTCCTGGGCGAGGTCGTACTGCAAGATTACACCCCGAGAGTGAGAGGCCTGGGGTTCAAGGGCCTCCCCACGTACCTCACTCCCTCAGCAGTTGATGAGAAGCAGGGACTAAGAGTCCTGGATGTTGAAACATGTAAATGGCTCTTGAGGGAAGGGAACACAGCACCCTCAGCTCTGAACTTGATCTCACCTGAGAACAGGTAGCCCTCCTCCCACCAGGGAATCTATTGACCCAAACCCTTGTTTAGGGAATGAGATCCTGAACCCTATGGGAGTGCACCAGATGTAGGTTTTCTGGAGCAGCTGATCTCACCAACTCCTTCTGGTTTAAAACAGGTTCCAGTGAGTGGCCATAAGGGTACATGAGCATCTGAGAGTAGCTGTGGATGGAGATCAGAGCCTTGAAGTTCCCATGGACTGTGATGAAGTCCACAATGGCGGCCACCTCTGGCTCTGACTGAGGGAAGGGCCCACGATACGTCTCTGAGCAGGGGTTGTTGTTAGAACCATTTCCTGGAAGTGAAAAGCGCCCAGATGGTCAGAATTCTCAGACGAAACAAAGACACTTCGTGCTTACAAAATACCCATGTGTCCCCTTACATTGCCCAGTGTCCTTTGCAGTTCAGTTGAAGTTATGTGACTACAGACAATCCCTGACTTACGATTTTTCGGCTTTATGGTGGTGGCAAAAGGCACACACACCCAGTAGAAAGCACATGTAGAGCACCCATACAACCATCCTGTTTCACACTTTTGGTACAATTTTTTTTTTTCAATAAATTCCATGAGATATTCAACACTTCTCATAGACTTGCGTTAGATAACTTTGCCCAACTCTGAGTGTTTAGAGCATATTGAAGGTAGGCTAGGCTCTCGTGTTCTGTAGGTTAGGTATAATAAATGCATTTTCAACCTGTGACATTTTCAGTCTACAATGGGTTTATTGGAGTATAACCCCATCATAAGTTAAGAAGCATTTGTGTTCCTGATCAATGAGAACACAAGCAGAAATTTATGTCCCTTTTGGTCTGAGGTTGTTAAAGACAAGTGTGATTTCTCCACACTCTCTTCTGTCTGCAAAAAAAATCTAGATTAAAGAAGCATTCTGGAAAACCCTCTGTCGATGCTGCAGGAGAGCTGCCTAAGAGAGTCAATTATCCACATTGGCTTTTGTGTGCATGAAAAGCAAGCTTTTATCAAGTTTAAGCCTCTGAGATTGGAGGGCTATTTGTTACTGTTGCATACACTAGTCTAATACTTCTGAGGAGTATAACCATGCCATGACCCAGCAACTCTGCCATGCAGGGAGTTCTCTTGGCTTGTCCCTTTGTTAAGTCCTGACTATGGTTCCATTGAAAAGCAGACTTGCCTCAGAAGGGGCATCCAGAAAAAAATACAGGTCTTCTCCTTGACCCTGGTTTCCCATACTGAGCAGCAACCTGTTAGCTGACCATTCGTGGGGTTGCTGTCAGTGATGGGCTCAGACTTGCTCTCTGCTCAAGCTTTGCTGCAGTCCTGGCTCCAGGATCTCAGTGGACTTGGGGACCAGGAAAGGAGAGAATAGATCTGCATAGTTATCTGAGGCTGGCCTGGGAACTACAGATACAAAAAGGTCTTTGAAAATTCTTCTTAGGGGACCTGTGTTGGGGAGGAGGGCAAAGAAGAATGTGCTTTTATTTTCCCATGGGTTTAATGTGTTCATCTCCTCCTGATGTTCTGCACCCCGATTCTTATTTACTTCTTCCACTCTTCTGCTTCCCTCTGTTCCCCAAGAGCCATATCGTGGAGGGCTGGAGTGAGCTGCTCATTTATGGACTGGTACTAGAGGCAAGGGTGGTGGTAGAAACAGAGGGATGTTGAGTAGCAGAAACAAAATTATAGATAGATAAGAATAACAATGTCAGGCCAGCTAGGTGGCATGATGGTTAAGGCAGCTAACGTGTCCAAAAGCATAGTTCTAGTCCCAGACCCGGCAGCCTGAAAAACACACCAGGTGCATGTGTGCACGTGTGCAAAATCCTGAGAAGAGTGTGGAGAACAGATGATGTGGTCATCTCCCCTGAGGGGGAATTTCTCACTTTTCTTCTCTCTTTCTCTCTCTGGTGAATGCACATGCTCTATAGCAAATAAAATTGTTTTAAAAAGAGGAACATTGTCTGATGTTATAAAATACAGTGAGGTGCATATAGTTAACAGCAACTTCTGTCTCAGAATAACTGAAAAAGGAGGTTTTGAATGTTCTGAATACAAAGTAATGACAAATGGTTGAGAGGACAATATGCTAATTATCCCGATTTAATCATTCTACATTGTATTTATTTACTGAAAAAATCATAATGTATCCCCACAAATATATACAATTACTAGGTTGTCAGAAAAGGCATGACATTTTTTTCTGTTTTTCTATGCAAAAAATGTGTCATAACTTTCCTGACGACCCAATACTATATGTTAATTTTAGAAACTAAAATAATTAAATGATGGAAAATGAAAAGAATAATAAATGTGTTCCCTTTACCAAAAAATACAAACTGTGCATTAGGAACACATTTGAAAGATGTCATTCCAGTTCCTCCTCTCACTCCTCCTCCTTGAAATGGCTACATACAGGCCCAATCCAGGAATCACTCCAGCTTTTGAAGCCTCCCAAAGACTCCAGAGCACCCTTCCCTACCCTGGGGCGCCAAGTGGCCCATGGGCCAGTACAGATGAGCTTTAGGAACCCAGCAAGCTAGACTTCCCCAAGGGTGCAGGTGAGGGCCGGCATAGGTGCAAGGGGTGGTCTATGGATTCCTCATTACATTACACAGCAATTCAATTAAGGCAATCACGAAACTGTAAACAAAATCTTCCCGCCTGAATCACCCGCCAACCCAGAGACACACTATTTCTGGCCATGGGCAGGCCCAGAGGCAATTCTGTCACCAAGAAACATATCCCTCCCTTAGTTTGCTAGTCCTCTCCTGGGGAGGAAGAGATCTTGGTCAGAAGGGCATGTGCCTAGAGAGAGCAAGGGAGTGAGGAGCAGCCCCCCAGGCTGGAGCTGGCCTAGCTAACAGTGGCCCTGTTTGTTGTGTCTGCTGGGAGCTTCTGCACCTGCTACACTCCGTGAATGACAAATAGCAACAGATGAGCAGAGTGGGGGGAGGCTGGAAGCTTTGTCTGCATTTGCAGCCCACGCACAGAAAGCGGTTCCCCTGCCAACGACCAGGTGGCTTTGCCCATATATGGAGAAACACTTCAGGCCATTAGTTCTGGTTTGAGCTAAGCAGAATCAACTAATCTTCCCCTGACCAAATGGGAATTAGCTGCCTGCCTCTCTGACGATCACAGTCAAGGTCCTCTGAGCCTGCCTGTTTCACAAGTACCTGCTAATGGATTCATTAGCTATTTATTTTTCCTCCTCTAAAAATGTAATTTGTAGCAAGGGGAAATCTCTGGAAGGGCATGGTAAATTATTAAAAGCAGTAATCTTTGGGTAGTGGGATTATGGGAGCTTTTGGCCCCCTCTGGGCATTTTTCCCCATAATTGTTTTTTATGTTGTGTATATATAAAAATTTTTTTTTCCTGTGCAGAAACCCACAAAAGTTATTTTCTATAAGAGGTCATTTATCTTTCCACTAACCGGTCTATCTTGGGGTCCATGGGCACTCATAGCAAGGCCACGTAGATGCCCACTGGGCAAGTATCTGGTCGTTGGAGGTTGTGTCCCCTTTACACACAGAACCCAGACCCTCAGGTAACCCCCACCCTGTGGATGGAGGGGCCTCACTTCCAATGCTCCAGAGCCATCTTTATATTTCAGTGAAAACAGACCTCAAGAAGCCAAATTTCCAGAGCAATGGGTATTTAGATCTAGAATGTTCTATCTCTCCAGTTTGGCCATCAGCCTGTGGGTCTTCTTTTCAACAGCAATGCCACAGTCCCCAGAAACACTGTGGGTGCCACTCCTGGGGGTCCAGAGCTCTGTCTGTGCTGGAGACCTTGTCGTAGATAGACCTAGCACTCCAGCCATCACCTTGCCCTATTCCCAGAGTCCATTAGCCTATCTCGGGGCTTTCTGGAGGCCTCAGTTTCCCCATCTACTCCCCATACCCCAGGTCTAGTGAAGGAGGCAATCAGAGAACACCAAGGAACTCAGGAAACACTGCCACCTCTTCCTGGTGTAATATAGCCCTGCAGGTATGCACCAGCCCACTAGCCCAGGGGCCAAAAATAAATACCAAGCTCATGTCAGCCTTGATGATAAAGTATGGGCTCACTCTATATTTGACCTGTTGCTCTGCCCTCCCCAGAGGACATGTTTCAAGTCACAGCTCTCAGGGAATAAGTTTAGAGGCATTTTCTTGTGTTGGGCTCTTACCAAGGAAGGGCTCAGGACATTTTGGGGTCGCCATAAACTCTGGATTTAAACAACTGGCAGGACTACCTTGTACCACCCTTTCTCTGCCATATTTAGGATTTGACCCTTACGGTAAATCCCCATTTGGAGCTCCTTACATGTTTCCCAAGAAGGCCTAGCCCACATATACATGGAATACACACATGGAACCTCTCTCTACATCCTACGTCCAATCCTAGGCACAGGCTTGCCCATCTCTGGCCAGGAGTCACTCGTGTTAGATAACCACATAGTCCCAGGCCTCCATAATCTGACCATGTGGAAGCCCCTGCCCAGGACCAACCGCTCCTTCTTCAGCCCTGCCCCAGGACCAGTAGGTTTCAGTACCTCCAAAGCCTGACTTCCAATTCCTGTTGAGGTCCACACCAATGCAGAAGATTCCAGGTCTGCTAGACTTGTTCTTCCGCCACAAGCGGTTCTGAGAAAGACCAGGTCAGGTGACCTCATCCACAGGGCCCATTCCCAGGAATAGGAGCCCCTGACATCTTGGCCTATGAAAGGGGGGGGGGTCGGCGGGGTCTAGTAGGGTAATGAGGAGCAATGGGAAGGAAGCTCCAGGACAGGCCAAGGCTGCTAATCGTATACTTTGTGGTTGGAGCCAGGATTTGGAAAGAGGCTTGAGCACCGGCTGCCAATAGTGAAGGAGGTCAGAGGGCAACAGGAAGGAGGTCAGAGAGCAGGAAGTTACAGCTGCAATAACTGGCCAGCCCCCTGCCCTCAGTGAGGCTCTCTGCAAAAAGCCTCCGAGGGGCTTCCTCCCCACGGCCATAGTGGCCTTTCCTCCACCCCCCTAGAGCTGAGGCTTCCCCCATGCTCCTCAGGTGCCCTCACCATGCTGTGGGTGAAAGCAAACCCATCAGGGTTGGTGACTAGCTCTATGAAGATGTCCATGGCTTTCAGTGTGTCTGTCAGGATGCAGTCTTTGCCGTATTCACTGACAATCTGCAAGAAAGGGTGAGGGATAGGAAGGTCTACTGGGCTCTCCGCGAAGCTGGAGCAGGACATTTGCATAGCCACCAGCTGCAGGAAGGGGTGGCATGAGGCCATTAAGAACATCCTTTGGGCCAATCTTGTGGCCAGTGGTTAAGGGAGCCAGATCCCACATGACCAATCACACTGTTCAAGTCCTGAACCTGGTGGCTTGAAAATAAACTGGGTGCATGTGCATGCATGCCCCAAATCCCAACAAAATGGAGAATTAGAGGAGAAAGGATTGTAGCATGACCACACCCCATTGGTGGGTGATTTCTCCCTTTCTCTCTCTCTCTCTCTCTCTCTCTTTCTCTCTCTCTCTGTTTCCCTATCTCTCTCTAGTTGAATACATGTGTCCTCTGGCAAATTTAAAAAAAAAAAAAAAAAGAACATCCTTCATCCAGAACCAAAGATTTAAATCTTAAATGATTAGAAGGCAGGGCTTCGTACCACAAAGGCCAGAGTACATGTAGCTGTTCCACAGGGCAGGAGGGGATACAGCACCCTGAATTTAAATGGACTGGGTGTAATTTTCCATTGGAGCTGCCCTTAAATAGTGGAGCAGCCTCTCTTCCCTAGTTCCAGCCCCCATCCCTGCTGCCCCTCATCTGCTGGCCTATACTGACCTTTTTGGCAATCCAGATACCAGTGGCATGGGTGATCCACTCCCGGGAGTGAATGCCAGTATCAATCCAGATGGCTGGGCGCTGGGAACCTCCAGTGCTAAACTAAGAAAAAGAACCAGTCTCCAATAGAGGTTTGAACTGAGACAGCTATGCACTGTCCTGGACTGCCTGGAAGGAGACCCCAGATGCATCCTAGCTGCCGAGGGAACCTCTATGCACCAATTGTGCTTTGCGGTAGAAAGTAGGTAACTGTGGATGCCACTATGATGTGTGCACATATGGGGGCCCACATGGCACAGAATTTCCCAAGATCCAGAGTATCATAAGCCTAATGTGTCTCAAACAAACTTTAATGAATCCCCCAGGGATCCTACTCAAATGCAGATTCTGATTCAGTAGGGGGTGGGTAGCCTGAAATTGGGCATTGCTAACAAGTCCCTGCAATGTTGATGCTCAACATGTGCAAGGACCACACTAAGCAAAGTCTTAGGCAACATTAAAAATAGAACACAACAGTCTCTGGGGAGAAATGGAAGCAGAGACAGGTAATGTTAAGACCCAGTTAGGTGAAGACACTAGGCTATTCCAAAGAGTCCACCGGAGCATTGTTGAGCACAGCAGCACCTGTCTTTGCTGACAACTGAAGTCAAATGCTCTGCATGGGCTGTGCTCATGAGTGTCCTTGAGGGCACAGAGTAAGAATTATTTTTCAATGAGCTCTGCACTCACCTATCCTGTTTCCTTCCTGATCAAGGACATTGCAGTTGCTGAGTTTGCTCAAATTCTGTCCCAGTGGCCTTTATAAGGGCTGGTAGATTTCCCCAGTAACTCAGGCCTATCTCAGGGACTGCCTGAGCCAGATGACCTCAGTCATTTGCAAATGGGCCCATCTCTTTCCTTAACAGATGGTGCAACCAAGGTAACAGGAAGAATGATGACTCATCCATATTTACACCCCAAGTCCAGAGTAACAAGTACCATTCTGCAGTTCCATCTCTTTAGCAACCTTCCCACTACTTCCTGACCAAGGACATGCCGGGTCACCACACTGTTACCTGTTCATACCTAAAAGAGTGGGTCCCTAATACTGCAATCCCAACCCTCATGGGTCACCTAAAGACAGGTATGTATACATCTTCCCTCTCCTCCAAACTCCCACTTAGCCACTAAGCCCACATGGGTTCAATCTTATGCTAGAAGTTCTCACTAAAAAGTCTATTGGTTGACACCGTGAGCTTTTACCTTCAGGACAAGAATGGATCGATTTTCAAAACTGTTGCCAATATGAATTTTTGAGACAATATCTGAATACTCAGTTACAAGGTTGTCAATCCAGCTATATATCTGAAAGGAATGAAGTTTATCAGATGGCAGTTAAGCAGGGGGAGGAGTGAAGCACAGGACCTCCTCAAATATTCCCCTTCCCTCATCCCACCCTCCTCAATGTTGCCCACCTCCCTTCAGGGTCTAAAAATTGCAAAAGTCAAAGATCCTTCAGAGACTAAGGACAGTGAGCTGTTGTCTGGCTGGATCCCAGGCTCTCTTGCACAGAGCTATGTCTTTGCCTCAGAGAACAGCATGTGCTAGGTCTGTTCAAATCCCTAGGCTTGGTCTTCATGGTTCTCTCTGGTTGAGAGAACCGTGGTTGGTTCTCTCTATTTTTCTTACCTCCATTTTCTGGCCTATTTAATCCATTTGACCAATCTCACAAACACTGTAATACTGGTTTTTATCTTTTCTCCCTTTTAGACTCAGCCCCTTGAAGTCAAGTTTCATATTTACTTATCTTTGGCATCAGTAAATAGTGACACATTATATTAATTCATTCTCTTGTTCTTTCAATGTTCACAAATGAACTTTTTAAATATATATAAAAAAGGATCCTCTATTATAAGCCTTGCGAAATGGAAAAAGTGATGCTGATAATAATTGTGTAGATAATATCAACAATGTCATTCTTTTTACACACAAAATGAGACCTGAGCCTGAGTTTCTTTCTGGAGTGGGTGTGTTTTTGTCCTCTGTGCATAGTCTCCTTTATAAACAAGTCACACCTGCCCTACCTGGTCATGAGTTTTCTCTAAGTGAAGGCAACTCTGTTTCATTCTACAAAAGGTCTGTCTAATATGCCTCACTTCCTGCCCATCAGATCCTCTCGTATTCACAGATGGGGCCACTGAGCACCAGGACTGGTCACAGGGACTCTTGGATCCCTAACCAGAGCATTGAATTTGAAGGCAGCCTCCTCTGCTCTGCGCTGACCCATAGCAGGTCCTGCCTTAGTGTTCTGCCTGGTGAACTCATTTCTCTGCACCGTACCTGCCTAGGACTATAATGTCCAATTGCAATCTCCTCTACCCAAATACCAGTTTCTAGACCTTCTTGAAGCTACCATCTGCTTAGATATCAGTTCACAGTCTCACTCACACCCTAGAGTCCTTCATTAGTCTCTGAGTGTGAAGACCCTCAAGGGTCCAAAGGTAGAAGAGAGCTCAGGGCCTGACTAGGCAATCCTACCTCATCCAGGGTGTGGTAAGAGGAATAACTGAAGCTGCTGGTACTACGCTCCAGCCGGCGAGATTTTGCCATGGCTTCTCTCTCCTCATCCAGCAGCACCTGGGAGGTAGGGAATACATATGGGAAGGGAAGGGAGAGCTGGGCTGGCCATGTTTCTCCTGAGCCCTGCCTCAACTGGCTGTATGTAAAGACAGCATCAACACAAGAAAATGAGACACCATGAATGCGAGCCACATAGCAGAAGATGCCGGGTTGCTGCTTCTTCTGTTTGGCAAGCTGGTATTCACACTGCTGTTTGCCAAATGAGCCTAGAGCAGGGAATCCAGAGAGTTGGGTTCTAAGTTGGCCTCTGTCATGAAATTGCTGTGGCCTTAGTTTCCTCAGCATGAAAACTAGGACAGTAATATCCTTGCCACCGCACAGGATAAAACACAATCATGGAGACGATAATGTTTTGGAAAAGATGCTTATGGTCTGCTACCAACACTCTTGTTTGAAAACGCTCTGTTGAGTGAGAATCCAAGCTGAACCATGCACACTGGCCCCCAGGAGAAACGGAGGGTTTTCCTAATTCACAACATTGCCTTTGCCCCCAAGGAAGCAGCCTAGAGAGATGGTATCTAGGTCATTTGGAAAGCCAGGTATGGATAAAGCAAGTCCAGATCATTCTTATTAATATTCCAGTGGTTTTTCACTCACCATGGCAACTGCCTTCTCACAGTCCAGGTAAGGCAAAAGCAAGATCCTTGAGTAACAACTTGGAGCTGGCACTCGGTCATCACATGGTGCTTCACACTGACCACGGTGCCTGGGTTGGGTTGGTCACTCACTACTCAGACCATCCACATCCTCCTGGAACATTTTCTCTGGGTCACCATGAGATAGGCAGATGTACTCCTCCTAAGCTTGTGCCCTTATATTGATACCCAGGGGCAAAGGCATCCCAGAATTCAGCACTGACTGTGCAGTGTGAGACGTGCCCAGGGTACTCTGCCACAGGGGCTAAGCATCCTCATCAACCCAAAGTTGCCCCTTGTTTGCAGCTGTGGGTCTTGAGTCTTGACAATGCCTCACTTGGGGCCAGACCCTGCTGGTTTACCAAGTGTCTTTATCTTCATTATCTCACTTAATCTGGCTAGATGACCAGATGACAGGGCAGAATTCATTATTTACATTTTAAAGATAAAGCAGGTTAGAGGGGTGAAGACATCTAAAGGCAAAGTTAACAAGTGCCAGAAGTGAGTTAAGAACCAGGTCTAGGGACCAGCAGTTACTGCAATGGTTATGTTGCTGGACTCCCACGTAGTTGACTGCGGTTTGAGTCCTAGACCCAGTGGCTTGAAAATCACGCCAGGCGCGTGTGCGTGCGTGTCCAAGATCCTGAGAGGAGAATGGAGGAGAAGGGATTGCAGTGTGGTCATCCCCCCTAGGGGGTGATTTCTCGCTTTCTGTCTCTCTGACTCTCTCTGTCTGGCGAGCGCACGCACCCTATAGCAAAAACCTCTCCAAAAAAAAAGAACCAGGTCTAGTTCCCAGCCTTGGGTTCCTTATGGCTAGCTTTGAAAACTAAAGGCCAACAGTGGTGACAATATATACACAGACATGTATTTCTGTGTGTGTGTTTGTGCACATGTGCACAGGTTGGGGAAGGACGGCACACAAATGTACAAAATATTTATACCAGCTGAAAACTTCATCATACTGTTTCTTGCCATTAAAAAGTTTTTTAAAAATAATGTCAAATCAAGTACCCTCAAGCATAGGAGAACAAGAGAGATGGTATCTAAAATGCCAAAACAGGGACCAGCGACGGCATAGTGGTTATGTCGTTGGACTCTCACATGACTGACCATGGTTTGAGTCCTAGACCTGGTGGCTTGAAAATCATGTTGGGCACATGTGCGTGAGTCCCCAAGATCCCAAGAGGAGAAGGAAGGAGAAGGGATTGTGGAGTGGCCATACCCCCTGAGGGATGGTTTCTCACTTTCCCTCTCACTGTTTTTTTTTTTTTCCTCTCTCTCTCCGGAGTGCACATATGCCCTAAGGCAAAAATCTCTAAAAAAAATTTTTAAGCCAAAAATATATTCTAAAATTCTAACAATACCTGTTAGAATGGAAGGATTGGGATTCCAAGTATTTTTTTCTTTTATTCATTTTTACATTTTGGCAACGTGCTTGTACTGTCAATAATAAGAACTTTTGACTGAATCAATAATACTCAAACCAGAATCTCTGATAGCTAAAGTGAGATAGCAGCCATAGAGACTTTAATCCCAGAGCTGGAGGAAAAGCACTCCCTACTCCGGCCCCACCAGCTCCAGATGGGGCCGCTGCCCAGTAGCCCCCTCACCTGCAGCCCAGCCGGCTTGCTCACAGCTCTCAGACTCACAGATTCCAAAGTGGGACTGGAAATTGAGACTCAGGGCTCTTACGTTTTATTTCAGAGCCCTAACTACATGATGGGTGATTATAATCACAGAGAACTGGCCAGGCTGGGACCTGCCTACTTAGGTGAAGCTGGGATTACTGGTTAAGTTAGACGAGGCTGGAGGAGCTCTGGCCTGGCCGGCCACTCACAAGCACCACCCTGGGAATCTCTGTGGAAAGAAATTTGTCTTCTTCTTCCCAGGAAATCCACCTGAATCTCAGCAGCCCACCATGACCAATGTGTGTCCAACACTGTGGGCCAGGTGCTGCCAGCTGTGGTGACAGCTGTGAGGACAGGAGGCTGCGCCAGTCAGGGGGAGTCAGGGAAGGCAAGTCCCCAGCTCCGTCCCACTGATGAAGTTAAGGGAGTAGACGGCTAATCTCCACAGGTTTGGCGAAGGTTCGAGGTGGGGGTGGGCTAGATAGGAGGAGAAATTGGGAAGAGAGGACCCAGGTTTTCCCACACAGCCCAGGGATGCCCACAGGAAGACAGCTCCCACGAGGTTGTCCTTTGTTCCACAAAACAGCTTGGAGGCAGATGGGACGTCAGCACCAAACTGCAAATCCCTCTCCACACACTCTCCCAGCCTTGTTGAATGGAGATGACACTCTCTTACAAATCGGGAACGCTCAGCCCTCACAGCTGGACCCCAATTCCAGGACCGCTCATCTACCCGGACCTGAAAAATGCACAGATGTTTGTTCCCTTCCCAGGCTGCAGAAAGGGGATGGGAGGCCCAGGAATGCAGCCTTGCCACAGGCTCAGGGAATGCCTAATTACACCCTGTCCTGCTTCTCAGGAGAGAAAAGCAGAACAGAAAACCCAACCGACTCCTGAAGGAAGCCATTTGCCTCCCCGAAAGCCATAGCCTGATGTGACGTAATTTATGCCACTAAGGAAGGACAGGAGCAAAGAACAGCAGCTCCAAGATGGGGGAGGAGGAAGAAAAGGCCGAAGAGATGAGGGTCCAAAGGCCAAGTCAAGGCCTGAAGGGAGCAGACCTGCTGTAGGCATAAAATAGACAGCTCGCTGGAACACAGAGGGTGGGAAGCTCTGTGACAATAGCAGTGGCTTCTTCTGGTGTGTCCCCCATCTCCTCTTCCAGGCCTAATACAGTAATAGCAACGTGGTCAATGGTAAATTCAATCTGTAGGCACCTCCATGAGGGGCAGCTATGGCTCCCATGATGTTAGAATGGACCTACTAAGAGGTCAAGGCTGAACCATGTAGCCTGGCTGCCCAAAGGGCCAAGTAGCCACACAACAATGATGGGAACCAGCAGTTAGCGTAATGGCTATGTCGCTGGACTCCCATGTAGTCAACCGTGGTTCACATCCTGGACCCGGTGGCTTAAAACTCATGCTGGGCACGTGTGCGTGCGTGCCCAAGATCCTGAGAGGAGAATGGAGGAGAAAGGATTGTGGCATGACCATCCCCCCTGGGGGGTGATTTCTCAGTTTCTGTCTCTATGTCTCTCTCTGTCTGTCTGGCGAGCGCACGTGCCCTATAGCGAAAATCTCTCCAAAAAAAAAAAAACAAAAAACAAAAAACAAAAAACACAACAATGATGACCGCTGAGGGGCAGATGCCTGGGTCCAAGCACCAGGGCAAATTACTAACTTCAGATAAATAACTAATTTCTTTCTTTTTAAGAGTTATCTTATTTATCTTTATTTATTTATTTTAATTTGACCAGAGAGGGACACAGAGAGAGAGAGAAAGTGAGAAAGCGAGCTGCCAGATCTGGGACTTGAACCACAGTCAGTCATGTGGGAGTCCAGTACCCTTAACCACCACTCCACCTGCTGGCCCCAAATTACTAATTTCTCTGTGCTTCAGTTTCCCCTCCATCAAACGGGGGTTACGTTATCATATACTTTAGCACATACTTCAACGTGTTCTCATGACAACGGGAAGGGTTACTACATGTATGTAAAGTGCCTAGAATGTGCCTGGCGCATACTAAGTGCTAGTAAATGTTAGCTGTGACGATGATGACGATGGTGATCATAGTCACCCTGGGGTGACTCCTGGGCTCTGCAAGGGACCATTCCAAGGCCTAACCAGGAAATCCGGATTCCTTCAGAAGGATTATGGCATCCATAGGTCTTGGCTGAAGGACAGCCCCATTAAGGGTCACTTGGGTGAGTCAGTCAGCCCTTGTCAGTCATGTGGGGCTTGGCCCCTCTTCTGCCCCTCCCTCTTGATGCCAGACTCTGCCTGTCCCTTGGGGGCCTTGCCTGTGATTGTACCTTTCCTCTCTGCCTTCCCCCGCAATCCTCCCCACTGTCTTCCTCTCCTCTTGAGAGCTGCCACCACCCCCATGCCAGCTGACGGCATTTCCATGTCTAAAACTCTATTTCAGGGATCATCTGTTGAATGCACTCGGAGTGCCGGGCACTGAAGATGTGGCAGCCCACAGAACAAAACTGCCTGCCCTGGTGGAGCTCACAGTCCTGTAAGGAAGCCTGACAATGAGCAAGAGGAGAAGGAAATGATACAGGACGTGAGAAAGTAGTCATGGCGAGGAGAGTGAAGCAGGAAGGAAAGGGGGAGCTGGGGGAAAAGAAGAGTGCAATTTAAAACACGATGAAAAGGTGACATGTGAACAAGTGAGAGAGTAAGCCAAGCAGGTATCTTCAGGAGCGGCATTCCAAGCAGAGGGACCAGTGTGCAAAGGCCCTGAGGCAGGAATAAGCCAGGCAAGTTTGAAGAACACCAAGGAGGCCGATGCGTGTGGAGCAGAGCGAGGAAAGGGGAGAATTGTCAGTGACATGGGGCAGGGAGCAGGTCATGTAATCTTGTGACCATTTGAAGGACCAGGGTTTTTACTTTGAGTGAGTTGGGAAGCCAGTGGAAAATTTAAGCAGAGGAGTGACATGATTGAATTTGGATATTTTTGAAGGGCCCCTCTGGCTGCTGTTTTGAAAACAGGCAGGAGGAGGCTAGGGTGGAATTGGAGCAGTTAGAAAGCCACTGGAATAACCAGGTGAGGGATGATGGCATGTTGGCCCAGGCTGGAAGCATGGGATGTGCTAAGACAGTCAGAAGGCAGAGCCTGTGCGATTTGCTTGCAGACGGGACATGGGATGAGAGAAAGGAGTGAAGACTGGCTCCCAGTGACTGAGGGTAGCATTTCCATCTCCCGAGCTGTGGGGGAACAGATGGGGAAGCCAGGGAAGCTCAGATCAGGATGGCTCTACAAAGTCTCTGATGCCACAGACAGACCAGTGGAGAGGCCGAGCAGGTGGTCAAATAGAAGAATCTAGAGCTCGAGAGAGAGATGCTGGCAGGAAACATAACCTGGGAGTCAGCAGGAGAGAGAAGGCTTTTAACGTCGTGATCCTGGATGAGGGTGTGGAGGAGAGGTTCAAAATAGAGCTGGAAACTGGAAAACAACGGTCAAGGGAGCAGCCAATGAGACAAGATCCCCAGGAGCGTGCAGCATCCTGGAAGCCAAGGTGTGTTTCAGGGAGAAGAGAGTGCCCGGGCGCCGAGAGCAGAGGGACAGTGAACACAGAGGCTGAGTTCCACCTAGGAGTTGCGTGTGACTCAGTCCAGGGCAGCTTTGCTGAAGTGAGGGGAGGATAGTCTGCCAAAGGAGAGGGATGGAGATGGCGAGAAAAAGGAGTCTTTCAAAAGTCTATGGAGGGCCAGCTGGTGACGTGGTGGTTAAGACACCGGATTTCACATGGCCGACTGTTCAGTTCAAGCCCTGGATCTGGCAGCTTAAAAAAACATCTCCAGTGCATGTGTGTACATGCCCCAAATTCCCAGAGTAGAGAAGGGATTGTGGCATGGCCATTCTGCACCTCCCTGCCCCCCCCACCACCAGGGGGCCAATTTCTCACTTTGTCTCTATCTAGTGAGTGCATGTGCCCTAAGGCAAACTAACAAAAAAAAAAGTCTATGGAATATGCATATTATGAAAAACCTTTGCATGGATTTTGATTTTTTTTTGCATCAAGATAAATTCGTACTTTAATTCCATTTTTCCACAATTTTTTTGAAGTCGCCTCAGTGTTTCTGGGAAGCAGAAGAAATGGGTGATGGCGGGGCGGTGGTGGGGGGGGAATCAAGAGAGGATTTTCTGAGATGGGAGAAATAACTATTTGTATGCTGATGGGATGATCCCTCGGAGAGGGGAAATTGGTGAAGCAATATTTACCCTTAATTGTATTTCGCTCTAGATGGTCGGAGCATGGGTGATTTTTGTTTTCTTCTTGTGCTTCCCCTATTTTCCCAATTATCTAACATGAATATTTATTAATTTCATAATCAGAAAAAAAGCCATTAAAATCCACAGAGCTGATTGCTCAAGTGAAGCTTTTCCATGACGATTCATCCTAGGAAAAAACCCATACCCACCAAAGGGCTGAAAAGAACGAGAAGGTGAAGAAAAATTAAATGCAAATAGAGCTCCCTCGGAATCAGATAATTTCTTGCCTGGCCCACTGCAATTTCCTCAGTGCCCTCCTGCCTGTCAGTCTCTCCCTGGCCCTGTCCCCAACTCAACACCGTCACTGTCAGAGTGGTTTTTCTTAAATGCAAATCTGATCATGTCAAAGCCACTTCAGTGGCTCCCCCATGGTTTCCAAGATAAAATCCTGACCTCTTCACATGGCAGAAGATGCCCTTTGTGATCTGGTCCGGCCTCATCTCCAGTCTGGGGGGGGTGCACCCTTCCCTCGCCAGCCTCCCCCCTCGCCCGCCCGCTCTGAGCCGCTGCTCAGCTCGCAATTACCGCCTTCTCAGAACCACGACGTGCAGTGCCTCTTGTACCCGCTCCCATAGCAACCTGCTCTCACTCCATGGCAGACTCATCCACTCCATTGTAATCATCAATTTACTCCCCTCCGCTCCCCCATCCCCCCTCGGCTCTCCAACACCCCTGGACGCAGGGCCTGGAGTGTTATCTTTGTGTTTTCTGCACCTTCCCAACATCCAGCACACAGTAGATATTGCTGTATCCATGGGTGGAAGGAGTGGGCCCACCTCCTCTTTCTCAAGCATCCCTCTGGTCACAGGGAAGGGAGTTGGGGGACCACTTCCCTTCCCCCAGAATCTCCCCTGCCCCTGACCAATGTGAAAATCAGCAGCCAGGTTTTCCACACTCCCTCTCAGCCTGGTCCTGGCCCCCAAACGCACCGCTCCTCTTCCCTCCCCGCACCCGCCTCGCACATCCATTAATTCAGCTCACACTTATTAAGCCTCCACTAAGCTCCAGATCCTGTCGCAGGTGCTAAGGTGTGAAGATGGATAAGGGGCACGATCTTGGACCTCGAGGGGCTGAGGGAGACAAAGATCAGCATGGTAACAAGGTGTCTCTCTGGACCTGCTTGCCTGGAGCCCACCAGGAGACTAATTCATTCCACAGGCAGTTGAGACACACCACCCAGGGGACATGAAACCTGGTGCTGGGGACGAGGAGAAAGTCAGGCCCGTGTGTGTCTGAGATGTAAGTTGGGACACAAAGCCCTTCCTGTCCTATTTGTGCTTCTGTGTTTTCAGTCTCCTGGACACCGGCCCCCATCATCACGACTAATCAACTCCACACAGCGGCCTCCTCCACCCCCCGACTCCCTCTAAGCCAAATTGTGATCTCAACTATGGCAGCCAGGGTTTGATACAATGCAGACAGAGCGAGCTGTTGGTGAGAATCCTGCCCGGCTGGGCCAGGGCCACAAGTTCAGGGCATTTTCCTGAGAGCTGGGATGTCAGGGGAGGGTAGACAGAGGAGAACGCAGACCACCAACTCCAGAGGAGCCATCGGGGGAGGCACAGAGGCGATGCCGGGCCGTTCCTGGTGTGCAGAAACCAACAGAACGGTTTTAGGGACCTCTGTGTATCTGTCTGCCAAATGCTGCCAGGGTTCCCAGGATAAGCAGAAGCAGGGAAATGTGAACTTCAAAATATAGGTCTGGGCTAAAAATGAGAATTCCGTTCTGTTTTCTTTTGATGTGGTAGCCTCTTGGGTCTGTGGGAGTTTCTCCATTTTTGTTCATGGGGGATTTAATTAGAGAAATATCCCACCCCCGCATGTTGAGCAGGAAACAGATGTGCCTGGTGAGGGATAAAGGTCTTAGAAGGGACCAGAGCACCCCTGCCCTGTGCTCGCCTGGGAAAGGAATGCC